GTTCGAGACCGACTCGGGGACCGAGTTCGAGTCCGAGTTCGAGACCGAGTTCGAGACGGAGTCCGAGATCCGAAATCGGGTCCGAGACCGAGTCCGAGGTCGAGTCCGAGGTCGGGTCCGAGATCAGGTTTGAGATCAAGTCTGAGATCGAGTCCGAGACCGAATCCGAAGTCGGATCCGAAATCGGGTCCAAGATCGAGCCAGAGACTAAGTCCAAATACTAATACGGGTCAAGGGGTGAAAGCCCAAAGCGTGCGTCTCCCAGGGGGGGGGCTGCAGGGGGTTCCAAAAGTATAGTAGGGATAGTGAGGTTCAGGAACCAGTCTTGAAGGAACTCTCCAATGGTGCTTCCAAACTGACTTGAGGTTGAGACTGGGGCCAAAGGGCCTTGGGTGGGAGTGAGCATGGGCCTCAGTGGTGCCGGAGGGGCCACCCAGGGAAGTGCTCAAGAGCAGCTCCTACTCCCGAAAGGGAAACCGACTGCGGTGCTCCCGGCTCAGGTGGAGTGGTGCCCCACTTGAGTACCTTGTGGCTCATTGGTCCTCGCCCTTCCTAGGGGCTTGGGCCTTCCCTTTGGGATGGAAGTGGGGGGGTAGAGGTACCCATATTGGGCCGTTAAGCCACGGTGTTTCGCCCCGACGTCCCGAAGCAAGTGCTGCACCCAAGACTTGGGATTTAGAGGGTCCCATGATCAAGTCTTGTGGTACCAAGGGGTGTTAGGAATTTGGGGGCTTGGTCTGCTTAGCTGTTTGTGCTTGCGGGGAGTGTAGCCGAACCTTAAGTCTAGTCTAACCCGGGGAGGGGGATTGGGAGAGATTTGGGAATCCGTAGATGGATGGCTAACACTCCGTTGCTCGTGCAGTAAGTAGCTGAAACCAAGTAGGAGCTGGTACCATAGGCGGGAACCTTGGCGAGGGAACTTAGCACAAGCCAAGGCAGAGTTGGTCGGATAGACGAGGTAAGTTGGCAAATGGGAAAGGAAAAATTTGTGGCTTACACAAAGGTGATTGGGCATGGCCTTAGCGTAACAGGCTGCTATGTCGGTGGTACCTTTGAGTGTCGGTCATGGGATCGGACACGTGGAGCACTTGGACCAGGTGCAAGGGTTGAGTGGCATGGATGCCATTCTTGGGGCTACCAAGTCCCAAATCCTGAATTGGACTTATGGAGGTTGTGAATGAGACTCCTCCAAGTAGTTGGAGGTGTGGTTAAGTGACTAAAGTAGAATGGAAAATTTAGTCGCTTACAACTTGGTATCGGAGCTATTCCTTAGTCTGACTTTTATTGGTGCTCAAGTATATCACCATTGATATTGGCATCGGAAGGTCTTAGGAGTGGGCCTATCCGGGAGGAGTAGCATGTCGAGAGGACATGGCTCTCCACTCAAGTTCATGCGTGAACTTGGGCGCAATGTGGTGGATAGAAAAGGGGCCAGTAAGGGATCGACTTTGGGATCTTGGGAACAGTATAAGGGTTTCCTCAGAGAGTTGAGGATGTGATCCAAATGAGCATTTGACTTAGCAAACTGGCTGATGTAGTTGTGGTAAACAACTACAATTGGGATCACAGGAAAGATGCAGACTCCAAAATAATAAAGGAGTCACAAGATAATCCACACATAGTTGAGGCTGGTGCTCATGAATTTGAGACCGGAATTGATGACCATGAGAGGTCAAGTATGGATGAGGGCAAGAGCTCTCGAAATGGTAGCTGGGGCTACCTTTTATAAATGCTAGAATGAACCCAAGGAGTTGGGGGTGTGCTCAAAGAATGAGTCAGCATTCTCATCATGGGGATAGATAGTCCTAAGGGGCAAAAGGCAGCCCACAGAGAACGAGAAATAATGAAGTGTTGGAGTAACACTTAAAAAATGGTCCTTATGAGTAGGACATGAATATATGAAGTTGTATTCAAGTGAGCTGGCACCTCAAAAATAGGACCTTATGGGTTGTTGGTTTAGTGAAGTTCAAAAAAGCTGGATGACTCAAGTGGGGTCAGGGAATGGTCCTAAGGGATTGGTTAAAGCATTTAGACTAAGGTGTATGCTGCCCCATAAGGTATGGGGAGGATCATAAGATCCAAGTATGAGAACAAAAGATATCTCATTGATGGCAAAATGTGCCATACTAAAGTTGTGGGAAAGATGTTCCCAGAAGAAAGCAATTTTGGCCCAGAGTTGGGGACAAACATTATGGTGCGGTGCTAACGAATAGTTAGCATGAGGCACAACTATATTAGTCTTGGCAAAGACCTAGACACTAATAAGTAGTGTCATAAGGATAGGCTCGTGGGGCCAATGGTGTGGAGACACTAAATATGCCAAGGTGTGATACCTTGAGGTTATGTTGGTGGGTTCATAAGAACCCCTTGCCAAAGGGGAATCCCAACGGAAATGGGGATGGCATAGCCTAAGCTGGAAGGCATGTGGTAGAGTGTGGTGACCAAAACAATGATGGAGGTGTGGAAGCACCAACAATGAGTTGTAGGACTTGACAACTATGAGGCAACTAAGCAAAAGGTGTAAGATAATTCGTCAAACTGGTAGAAGGTAGCTACCTAAGACTTCTTAATGGCATAAAGAAGTTAGATATACCTTTACGAGGGATAAATTGCTTATGTTGCGATATAGTAAGTTAATGTCATAAAAGGGAATGCTCATTGTCAAACAGGCCATCATTTGGGACACCAAAACACTCTAGGACACCGAGAGGTGGTGTTTAATGTCGCGAGGGCAATAGATAAGGCCCAAGGGACTAAATCCCTAGCAAATGATGGATAGAAGGTGCTATCCAAATGTCCAAGGTTGCGGAGACGGGAGAAGACTATCTACCCAAATTGGACAAAGCAAAAGATTGAATTTTGGCAAGGCTAGTGATGGGAATGTAAATGCCCATAAGCAACAACGTTAATCCCGGTGTGTGGGGATTATAAGGTGAGCATACCTGGATTGAGGAACCACTCCCTAGGATATTGGGTAGGTTCATCCCTAAGAATACTTGCTAGGGCATGATAGAAAGTGCAAAGCTATCCTCTTAGTCTGAAGGAGAATGACCGAAGGAAAGGTGTGAAGCCAAAAGCAAGTAGTAAAGGGATAGAACCAAACCAAAAGAATTGAAGGGCATAACCAAGGGTGGTTATGCCAATTGGGAGTGGAGAATCAAGTGGGGGCTTGAGGGTGTTGTTGCTAGCAACCGTGATATTGTGGAAGGTCTAAAATATGGAATTGTCCATGTTAGACTATATGGCAACTAGAAATTTTGCAAAAAGGGAGGCCTTAGCAAGCTAAGGGACATAGTTCCTTCAAAAATTCCCAAAGACGATTCTAGGTAGCTTAGTACCTAGAAAGCCAAGCGTAAATGTTTCCTAGAGCGCGCGAAATCAGAGTGGCATAGCAGAAGCATGTTCTTGAAGCTGGCCATGAGGCAAGGCTATCAAAGTTGGGGAAGTGGTTCTCGAGTGTTCAAAGAGAGGGCTTTGAACGAAAGTCGATGGTTAAGGACTTTCATGCTTATGTAGGAACCATGTTACGGTGGCCGGATGACTTGCTAAGTGAGATTGGCAATTCAGGGGGACAAATCCCCTAGTTGAAGGTGCTAACTTCAAAGGGGTGGCCCATGGGGCCGAGTATGGAGGAGTGCATGCATGATCACAGGCTTGTCAAGTGAGAGGACTTGGCAGTGCGGGGGAACTAGGTTCCTAAGTTGTGATCTATAGCGCACTTTAAATATAAGTTGGTGCACCGGCGTGGGGAGTCACGCCAGGCATCTAAGGTGATGCCGTCCGTAGATGCATATACGGAAGTTGGGTTCGAGTCCCGACCCTCTAGTGCTTGGGTTCGAGTCCCAAATCACTAGGGCGTGGTGATGGTTTGGAATATGAGGACACTCATATTTTGGTGGTCATGGACTCTCAATGAGGAGACTGGTTTGGGCACACTGCCAAGCGAGGGATGCCTCGGAGTCGTGATGCACGGTTAGATTGCTTAGAGTGAAAGCTCGGCATATCTAACTTGAACACTTTGGTGCAAAGGGCACCAAAGACGTGGTGAATGAGATGGGCAACTTTGATTGGCTAGGACCAAATAACATAGCTTCATGTTCAATGCCAGCACAAAAGCTAGAGCAAGAGAAGATACAAAGTTGACACATGTCCAGGTAAGTTATGCTAGGGTTTATCATTGAGTGTTTGGTGAGGTGCAATGCAAGAGGTTTTGCGTTTCACTGGATCCCACAATTTTTTTCCCAATGCAAGGGCTGGGTAAAAGAAGATGTGTATATAGGTATGATGCTAGTTCGTCCTGAGCCTCTTAGGATGACCAGGAAAATCAATTCCAGTACATAAACACCCATGAAATTGATGAGCATGAGATAGTTTTGGCAGCTCTAATAGCTCTAATTTGTCATGTCGTCCACAGTGTTTCAAACAGAAAGATTATAAGTGGGAATTTGAGGGATCTTAGCTCTTGTTAAAGGAACTGGTGTTGGTGGTGCAAGGTGTTGCCAACCGCCCAGCATTGGCTGGGCAATTACAAGTATATTCATAATAAGTTTGAATAATATTACTGATCAAGCAATTGCACCAACTACTACTCTAGAGTCAAAGGAGGAGGAGACTATTGCTCTGCTATGAAAATGAATGAAAAGGAAAGAGCAAAAGAAGAGAAATGAAAAAAAAACAAGCTTTAAAAAAAGAATTCAAGCTCTCCATCTTAATTACCAGCACAGCAAGGAAAAGGGATCTGCTTAATCTACAAACTATTTTTTTTCTCTTCCTCTTCTCCATGGACAAACCTAACAAAGTAGGTGCTGTTGGGAAAAGTGTAGAATAGGGACATGATCTTTCAGGGAGAAGTTTAGTAATTGGCAAGCCTTATGAAAAAGTAATAGGCTCTTCCACACTTTTTCTGCTATCTTTTCCACCATAAAATTCAGTTGCCACGTCTTCATTTCAAAGCGTGACACGTCGGATTTTGGAGCCCCCAAGGGTTTTCTAGCATCGTCATGGAGCTTAAAACTTTGATGTCGGTGGTCTTACTGCTACTAGCAATGATCCGAATAGCAGTTTCTTGGGCTGATAAAAACAGCCTACAAGATGCAATGGCGCTTATGGAATTTAAGTCGACTGTCTGGTACGATCCACTAAATACTTTTGCGACATGGCAGGCCACTGGGGTACTAGGCGAGCACCCATGTAACTTTAAGGGTGTCGAATGTGATATGCGTCGCATGAGGATAAAGTATGTAGATATCTCGGGATGCCAGCTGCGAGGGATTGTTCCTTCAGTACTCGGTAACATAACGCTGGCTTGGGGATTTAACCTTAGTCACAATGAGTTTATTGGGACAATTCCTAGAGGCTTTGGGAGGATGCCAAATCTTAAATATCTCGACCTGAGCAACAACTTTCTCACGGGTAAGTTTACTGTTTTTTATTTTATTTTATTTTATTTGTTGTATTTTCGTTATTGTTTTAAGTTCATTATTAAGTAGTCTCTACGTTGGATCTGCAATTGCGCTTTTTCTCGTCTTTCAGTCTACTTCTTGCAATAGCTTGTTGTTCTTGTTGTTGTTTCAGGGTTTATGCCAACCGATCTTGCCAAGCTGCAGTTTTTAAACTTCTACAGCCTCGCAAATAACCAGCTTACGGGCTTCCTTGGCTTCCTCAACATGTCGAGTCTTAGACGTCTTGATCTGTCTAACAACAGTTTTAGGGGACCCGTTCCAGAAAGTTATGGTACATTACTGCCTAACCTCACCCAATTAGATTTGTCAAGGAATAAGCTCACCGGTCCGATACCCAAATCACTTGGATATTTAGATGACCTTCGCAGGCTTGACCTCTCTCGCAACTTGCTTACTGGCAACATTCCTTACTCGCTCGCTATGGCAACAGGACTTAATATGCTCAGACTAAAGTATAACTTTCTTACAGGGATTGTTCCAGACACTGACACCATGCGCTTGTTTGCAAAAGCCTTTTTCCCTGGAAATGATGGACTCTGTGGACCAGTGGTAGAAAGAGCATGTCCAAGCTCGCAGGTCTGGAAGCAAGTCGTTATGGGACTGTTTCTTCCTCCACTAATACTTTCAGTCGTTACTGGAGTAGTGTATTTGGTGGCTCCTCCGGACGAGTTCTCACTTTCAACTATCAGGAGCGTTACGGATAACTTTAACAACAATAAGATTCTCGGTGATGGAGGTCTGTGCACGATTTACAAAGGCGTCTTTCTAAATGGTAAGACAGTAGCTGTAAAGCGGCTCCGGCCTGAGTATTACAATGACAACAACAAGATCTTTGACGAGGAACGTAGGTTTTTGAAAGCCGTGAATCATCCAAACATTGTCAAGTACCTTGGAGCGTGTTCCAGTCCAAGGCTTAAGGTCTTGGTGTACGAGCATATGGCCAATGGAACCTTGGATATGCACTTACACAAGGAAAGAGGAGGCCTGTCAAGCTTGTCATGGAGTTCACGAATGAATATCGCTGCTGGAGTGGCACAGGGGTTGGCGTATTTGCATGGTGAGTGGAATGAGCCTCAAGCCATGCATTGTGATCTTAGAGGAAGGAGTGTTCTTCTAGATGATAAGTTCAATGCACACATTAGTGATATCCGTTCGAAAAACACAAGCCTAGCATTCACTAATCCAGAGAAAAGCATTGGAACATCAACTGGCTATCTGCCTCCAGGTGAACACACTTTCATTTCTCTTGTTTCTTTTTACTCCTTTTTTCTCATTTATGTATCACGGATGGAGCAGAGTATGCTACAGACATTGAGCCTACTACCGAGGGAGAAGTTTTCAGCTTTGGTACTTTACTTATGGAGCTCTTGACAGGGACAGAACCAGCAGCTCCAGTAGAAAATGATGTTGAAGGTGGCCTTCAAGGAATTATGGAACGAGCTTTCCCCGATAATCTCCAGTCTGTACTTGACCCAGCTATTATGGGTGGAGCCTCCTATGATCAAATTGTCTTGTGTACAAAGATAGCTTTAGATTGCACCAAGGCAAATCCCGAGGAAAGACCAAAGATGGAGGATGTTCTTAGGATGTTTGAGCAAGCGTACTCTGTCGGCCCAGCGTATGCTTCTGCTTTTACTATTTTTAGTAATATATGCTCTTCACATAATACAGACCTGCGCCTTCTGCTGCTTCAACACTGCTGAAGTCGACAGAGACGTCGAGGCTACTTGGATGGCCAACTGTTTGGGGCAGTTTCACAAAAAATGTCCTTGGAATCAAATCATGTTTATATTCGGCCATTCATTGATAGAAAATTCAGATTTTTGGTATGGCATCTCCTTCATAAACAGCTTAGGCAGAAGGCAACAGTTTTCTGCACCAGGGACTCCACAATGGCAATCACGGTATTATTTTCCTAACATTCGTTAAATAGAATTACTTTGGGTTATAACCTGAAAAGTTCCATCTTTGAGCATGAGCTAGAGCGATGTGAATAGATCCAGAGGCATTGAGGTCACACCACTCTAGCTCATGCCCAACCTTTTCACTTAGAGGCAGCAGGCAGCAAAGAAAGGAATCGACTCAAATCGTTTGTGGCCAGAATGATGCCAGGTATATATTATTCTCACTGTGCTGCAATAGCATGTACTTGTTATGGTCAAACGCCCAAGGCTCTAACTAGGTTTATCTAGAGCAAAGATGTCAAGACAAATGCCAAGTGGCAGCAGGCTGCTGATATGTAAACAAGAAAATGAAGGGAAACAAGAAAATGTGCAAAGAGAAAATATAAAAAGAAATTGATGCAAAGAAAAATAAAGGAGAAAGTCGTTAGAACGACAGAGAACCAAACCTGAACTCTAGTCTCAGGAACTGTGGATCGTGTTATAGTGCAGTCGCTAGTCCAACCTCAAGAATTTTGTCAAGAGGGGAAAAAGAGGAAGCCATTACCTTGTGATGGAACAGCAGTGGATGATGCAAATGGTAAAAAATGTTGCTAGTTGGTGGAATGATGGATGAGGGGCTAGAGTGTGATTGTTTCCTTCCATTTTTCCGTGAAGATTAGTGTATGATTGTGATGTTATGGTGATGACTAGGTACACATGGTAGTTGGGTAGGCCAAGTTTAGGGTTCTTGGCAACAATGAGTCTTGGATAGTGCAGGGATGATAAGACAAGGATCCTGTTGAGGGCGGGAGTGAAGAGGGCTCAATCAATTTAGTTTTGGTCTTTCCCTTGAGCATTGTAAGTGTTTTTACTTAAAATACGATCATGGACCTCGCTCGGGCATATGCCCATTTTAATGCTGCTACAACAGTGCAAGGAGTGTGGAGAACTTGATGTTAAGCATGTATTGTGGGAGTGTGACATGGCAAGGACAGTATGGGGGCCAATAGTGAAGGTGATGCAAGAAGTGTGAACTCTTCAAGATTTTGAAATTCAGGAAGGGGACGTGCTCCACTAGTTTGAAGGAGTAAGAGGACTGAGTACATGTCCTGCATGGCAGCTAGGGCCGGAACAGATGGGGGGTCTTAAGCACATTGGGACCCCATAGGAGTAGAACTGGCAATTTCGGTTTGGGAAGCAGCGGGCAATGATTGCTGGGCAACATGGAGAGTGATGGGGGTGCAAGTGCCGTGGGAAGCTTGCAATCAGAACCACTTTGAGGGAAAACAAGTGAGGATCTCAGCAATCATTGCAGTGTGGTAGCGACTAACATTGGCGGTGGTTCGTTTGCACTACTCCATTCAAGAGGGCACAGGAAAACCGGAGAGACCACGTGTGAAGCCTAAAGTGAGTAGGAGCATTGCCTCGTGTAGTAGAATCACCACAGATGGGCAGCCTTGGTGACTCACCCATCCTCCCAGCCATGTACATAGCACCAACAGTTGTTATGCACTTGCGTCTTTGTGGTAGAGACACCCATGAGACACTCCCCTAAACACTTGATACTGAAGGGATGGAATAAAGATAAGTATAGCACTGAGATGAGTCTATCCCACCTAAGCTGAAATGCAGCCTCCTAGTTGTGAGGCAAGCCTTTGGCAAAATACGTCTGCTCAGTACGTTCAGAATCCTCCCAGGGCTCGGCTTGCATTAGCTTGACCCCAGGCATATGATATCTTCCTGTGAAGGGAGGCCAGTCCGTCAAGCTCCTCGGACTGGCCACGTGTCACTTGGTGACACATGGATGCCCATGAGGTACTGCAACTTCCCCATGGTTCAGCTACTCCCCAGTGGTTGCCCACTTAGCCTTGCTTCATGTTGGGTCGGGTCGGGTTGGTTGTTTCACAAACACTGGAAGAAGGATCTAGAAAATCACTAAAACTGGCAGGAATTTATTAATCAATATTTTTATGGTGGAATGACTCTCTCACCACAGAATCATTTGAATAGCACCACTATAGAGTGTTTGTTTCACTTAAACTTATATGGTTTGTGAACATAATGATAGAGTTCCCAGTGGTAGTCCTCAGACGCATCTGATTTTTTTGGTGGAAGGGCTGAAATTGGCCGGGCTGCTTCAATGGCAACAACGGGCATCTTGGGCGGCTCCGGCGGAGCAGTACAGGGCCTTGGAGGACTACGCACCAGGAATGGCTGAGGCTTAGCTGGTATATTCATCTGTTGCACCTTCTGCCAGTTGATAACATTTAGATTTCTTGTGCCTGACATTTTGCTCTGGATCCTCAGCCTCCTCAATCCTGCTCTCCACCTGTGCATGAGGCGAATGAAAATTAAGATACTGTCAAGATGCTTTTCAAACTCGCACGTTGCCATTTCTTCCAAGTATTTGAGCTTTTGGCCTTCGTAACCATCATCATATTCCATGCTAATAAAGTTGTAAGGCGCCCCTCCCTTGTTCGGATGCTTTTCCTTGATCCTTAAGAAATAATCGCTCCTCAGCTTTGTCTCCCATTGCTTCTCTCTTTCCTCGTATACTTTTTGATCTCTATACGCTTGATGAGCTCCACGAAAAACCCTTTGTTTCTGAAGGAAAATTTCTGAAGGAAAATTTCCGAACCTTCCAATCCTTTATTACCTCTTGCTTCACTTTTCTCGCGTTATTGTCAGCTCGAAGCAATGAGTCAAAGTCTTTGTCCAACCTGCACTCATCCGGAGCATAATGAGTGCATTCTTGAGGCGGTTCCACAAGCTCCTTCGTTCTATATACGGTATGGCGCACAAATCCAAACGTTCTACTGGCCAGCCTTCGTTTCTCCAGAATGTCAAGGTCTTTTGCATTCATATGCTTGCCGCTGTCCGAAGTGACAATTGCAGCCATTTTCAACAAAGCTTTTAAAGAAAAGACGCTTTTCCTTGCTTCTCGAAATTGAAGGAAGAGATAGCTGATGAAAACTTCCATATTGGACGGCGCGCCATGGATGAAACGGTTTCGCTGCCACGCAACCTAATCTCCAGATGATTTCCCTCGGCGCCTCCACATCAACAGCTTAAAACCATCTTACGGGTCAACCTTACCGTGGCTAGAAATCTCAATCCAAAAAGGAGGAAATTATTACAAGCTGCCACGTATTACATTTTTATTGGCTAGTCAGATAGAGCTACCAAGGGTTTGCTATGGCGCCCAGTGCTGCACTGATATTATTGGGATTTCTCACAGCGATCCAAGTCGCGATGTCAAGAATTGATGGATACAGTCTTAAGGACGCCCAGGCACTCGTTGCATTTAGAGCCACAGTCTGGTATGATCCACTTAATATTTTCGCCAGCTGGCATGTCACCGGCGTAGTAGGCGAGCATGCCTGTAACTTCAAGGGCGTTGAATGCGATAGAAACCTCTACAGAATCAAGTACGTGGATATTTCGGGGTGCCAGCTGCGAGGAATTGTGCCTGCAGTTCTTGGCAACATAACACTCGCTTGGGGATTCAACCTTAGTAACAATGAGTTTATGGGGCCTATTCCCAGAGGCTTTGGCAGAATGCCAAATCTCAAGTATCTTGATCTCAGCAACAACTTGCTTACTGGTAAGAGCATTTGCAACACGCTGATCTAACGATTTCCTGGCAGGAGGCATGCCTCCCGATGTTGGTAGGCTGCGTTACGTAGGGTATTACAGCCTCGCAAATAACCTCCTCAGTGGCTCGCTCGGCTGGCTCAACATAACCTGGTTAAATCACCTCGACCTTTCGGGCAACAGTTTTAGGGGATCCATTCCGGTTACCTACTGTGCGTTGCTGAAAAACATTAGTTATTTAAACTTGGCAGAAAACAAGCTCGTCAGTCGGATACCTGAAAACATTGGATACTTACCAAACCTTCGCTGGCTCGACCTTTCAGACAATAAACTCACCGGCAACATTCCTTACTCCCTCACCATAGCAACACAAATCAAGAAGCTAAGGCTCATGAACAACTCACTTTCTGGTAAAGTCCCAGACACGCAAACCATGCGATTGTTTGCCATGACGGCGTTTTTCCCCGGGAATGATGGACTTTGCGGATCAGTACTGGGTAAAGAGTGTAGTCCTTCGGGCTTGTGGAAGAAAATTGTGATGGGTATCTTTCTTCCAGCTCTCATACTTTCGGTGCTTACAGGAATCTTGCACGTCGTGAAACCTCCGGACGAGTATTCGCTGCGAACCATCAGGAGGATCACTGATAATTTTAACAACAACAAGATTCTCAGCGTGGGAGGCTTGTGGACAATTTACAAGGGAGTCTTTTTCAATGGTAAGACAGTGGCTGTTAAGAGGGTCCGTCCAGAGTATTATAACGGAGAGGGGAAACTTTTTGAAGAGGAACGCAAGTTCCTCAAGGCCATGAGTCATCCCAACATTGTTAAGTACCTTGGAGCGTGCTCTACCCCGAAGCTCAAGGTTTTGGTATACGAGCATATGTCCAATGGAAGCTTGGACATGCACCTACACAAGGAAAGAGCAGGCATTTCCAGCTTGTCATGGAGTTCGAGAATGGATATTGCTGCTGGAGTAGCTCAGGGATTAGCGTACTTGCATGGGGAGTGGAAAGAACCTCAAATGCATTGCGATCTCAATGGCAGCAGTGTTTTGCTCGATGACAAGTTCAACGCACGCATTGCTGATATCCGCTCAAAGAACGCCAGCAAACATTTCACTAGCCTAGAGACCAACATTGGAAGGTCAACCGGATATCATCCTCCGGGTGAAAAATGTGATTTCTTTTTTATGACTTGTTTCTCACTTATAATTTTGGCCGTGCATTTCAAGGGTGGAGCAGAGTATTCGATAACAAATGAGCCTACCCCGGAAGGCGAAGTTTTCAGCTTTGGAACTTTGCTTATGGAGCTCTTGACAGGAACAGAAGCGGCTGGTCCAGTGAAAAATGGTGTGAAAGGAGGGCTTCAAGGAATCATGGACAGAGCATTTCCCGATAATCTCCAGTGTGTGCTCGACCCAGCGATACTAAATGGCGCGTCCCATGATCAAATTGTCCTGTGTACTAAAATTGCATTAGATTGCACAAGGACAAATCCTGAAGAACGACCCAAGATGGAGCATATTCTTGGCATGTTTGAGCAAGCATATTCTACCGGCCCAGCGTAAGCTTTTCTTTTAGTTTTTCCGCTCTTATAGTTATTCGTAGTACAGGCCTATGCAATCTACGGCTTCATCGCTGCTCAAATCCACTGAGACATCGAGGCTGCTTGGATGGCCAACTGTTTGGAGCAGCCTCACAAAAAATTTGCTTGGAATCAAGCCTATTTTGCCTTCGCTCAACCAGGTACGGATACCTTGAAATCCGTGCAATGAAAAGCTACCTTGTAAAGTTGCTCATTTCAGCAAGACTGAGAAGATTTCTGCTTTCTGATGCTTTATCCTTTTATCTTTTCGCTAGATAGACTGTGAAAGAAAGGCTAGTCATGATTAGGAGCAATTTAAAGTAGAAGATAGCAAACTTAAGGTGGCACCTAAACTCTAGACAGTGCCTCAAGCCAGATCACACCAAGGCTATAGCTGCCTATATTTTAATCGCTTCCGTTTTAGAAAATGTTATTTGTGGCTTGTGAGTGGCAAGAGGTTGTTATAGCTGTCTATGGTACCCTTAGCCTGCTAAAAAACCCTCAAGCGCGGATGCCAAATGCATAATGGCTTTGGAACAAAAAGTAATACTCTGAGTGTGCTGCTCCACGCAAAAACCAAGATTTGGAGTCCAAAACTGTCATGAATCAATGAGACATATCTGATGATGCTCAATTCTGGGTTGTCATGAAAGAAATGAGTCTGGAAGCGAGTAAATGCCACTCCAACCAAATCGATCTTATACCGAGCATCCACTGCCAGTGCCTCGTTTTTGTTTGGCTCAACCAGGGTGCCCATTGCAGTCTTTGCATCCTTCTTGCTCACCTCCTTCCTGAGTCGTGAAATGTTCGAGTTGATGTTTTCATGCGGGTTATATCTTCTAAGAGAGCAGTGGTGTCGAGAGCAGCTCCAATGAGGGCCAAGGATTGTGGGGCTGCAACAAGCAAGGGAAGGAGGCTGTGGTGACTATGACAGTGACTAGAGGTGTATGCAGATTTTTCCTGTATATGAGTGTCTTAGGAGCTTTTTTTGTGGCAGACAGATGGAGAGGATATTGGGCAAGAAGGACATCTGAATATTGGGTTAAGGTGCTATTTTTATGTTGGAGGAAGTTGGTCCTTGTATTTTATTCCAGGGTTTTGGTTCCACAACAAAATTTTGAAATGTTACAAGATGTGTTCTGATTTTACACCGGAGTTTAACGGCATACAGGCTGATATGAACAATACCTGGTGGGAGCACTGGGCGTTCATGGCACAACACGGTATGTTAACTTTTATGTCTTTCTTTAGGTATGACATGCAGCACATTGAAAGATTGTGAAAGGAGTTCTATGAAAAAGTGATGTGGCTCTACTTGTGTTCTACTCCAGTCCATGGAGAAAAGGAATATTTCAACCCAAGAAACAGGATTCATATTCATTACTTGCATGCAGTACTCATTCACAAATTGCAGCACTGAACTTTCCAATGGGTGGATTGCCGGAACCTCCACAAAACATGTTTCTGCAACCATGGGCCAGGCTTTCTGTCCAGTTACCAACCTGAAAATTCATTTAGACCAGCCGAACAAATACCACCTTTAATTCCACCTCCAAGAATGCAATATTACCCTTTTGATCTACAGAATCATTTGTCCCTTGGCAACATAAAATCTATCCTCCGGGATCTCGAAAGAGTTAGAGACAAGGCTTTCTACCTGAATTCAGATGCAAGAACACCTTTGGAGCAGCGGTATGAGATGCATCTTAACCTCGTGCTACATAGTAGATGCCCAGAAACAGCCTGTGGCAGCACATGTGCTCAGCATCCTCCATCGCAATGATGTTGAGCAAGAGCCAGGTGCTCAGCTATTGTATGCCTTGTAATTCCCATGAAAAACATAGCACAATCCCAGAAAAAAAAAAAAGAAAAAAAGAAACACGTCAACCATGTAATATAGCACAATCAACCAGTAAAAGGAACATTTGTAACCCCTAATACCCTAACAGATAGCTATACCAGTAGAGGGATGTGGATTCAACTTACATCTCAGACTACTTCCTTCTTAGCAGTGGCATCTTGCCAATACCTCCTTGTCTCTTGAGGC